GCCAAGGGCTGTTCTATCCAACGAACAATATCCGGCAGCTTAACGCCTTCTCAGATTCCGATTGGGCGTCTTGTGTGGAGACTCGAAAATCTGTCACGGGTTACTGGGTGTTCTTTGGCTCTACTCTGTGTCTTGGAAATTAAAAAAAAAAAAAAAAAAAAAAAAAAAAAAAAGCTATTGTATCCAGTTGCTCGACTCCTTATTGATACACTTGCATGTTCAGACAGATAGAGCTGCCACATTATTTTGCGACAACAAGTCCGCGTTTGCCATCGCCGAGAACCACGTTTTCCACGAACGAACGAAGCACATAGAAATCGATTGTCATGTGGTTCGTGAGAAAGTCACTCAAGGGCTCCTCAAGTTACTATCTGTTTCATCATCCAACCAGGCAACTGACGGGTTTACAAAATTCCTTCCAGTTTCTCCTTATCAATTGTTTGTATCAAAGCTGGCCGTTCAAGACCTACACGCTCCAGCTTACCGGGGGAGGGAAGGGGGGGGGGGGGGGTTGTTAGAGGACTGATAAGGGACGTGTGTAACCATCTTCCTGCATGTAAGCTCTTTCTTTTGTCCAACAAACAATGAAGATATTTTTTCACAACTCTCTGTAGCTTGTTCCTCATAGGTTCTTATTGGGTACCAACTTCTCCTCCAATACCTTCTACCGTTGAACATCAAGAACATTCCCGTTAAGTTCTGGTATATAGGGTGTTTCTCTAATTTAGCCCTTTTTATTGGTTCAGTACCCTATACAACTTTATCCACAACCTTGGGAAACTTAGGTTCTTCTACACCTCTCTTAGTTCCTTCTAGTTAGTCAATCACCAGGTTGATAGAGTCATTGGCAAATTATCTCTCATCGAAAACGTTATTGGATGAGATTTGAACATTTTCTTCTGGTTGTTCTTCTCCTTCCAGATTCTCCTTTGCCTCCGAAATTTCAATAGTGGCTCCAACTTCTTATGATTTCTCCACTCCTTCCGGAACAACTGTTGGAACAACTACTATTCCTTTCGGACCAACTTCTTCTGATCTCTCTATTCATTTCCTTCCAGAGTAACTTCAGCTTGTGGCCCCCTTCAACCATTGACATGGAAGACTGTCCAGGCACCACAGTTAGGCTTGACTCATGTTGAGCTCTGGAGAGATGGTTGGTAGCTTCTAAATTTCATTGATCATAATTATCTCCGTCATCGTCATGGATAGAAGGTCCTTATTCTTTAGCTGTTTTCTTCTTGTTCAACATAGAAACTTTTTGGATCAAGAATTCTTCTAAGGGACTAAAGTTATAAATTTTAGAGTGCATTTCATCTCTAATTATGTTGTAGACTGCCTCTTCCATTGTACGCATATTGATAAAACATATTCTTAACTATATTTTACTCTATACTTTAGCCTATTTTGTGCATAATATAAAGTTCCCCGAATCATGTGTGTATTTAGACTTATTTGTTTGCTTTATTGTCTTAGGCATATTTATTCACAAAAATTACTGTGGGAAGTATTTTGGGGCATTTCTGGTCAATTTTGGAGTTAAAGAACCCGTTCAAGAAGGAATGGAGCAACAAACGAAGAACGAGGAGCACACTAGGAGAATTAGCATGGCCACCAGGTCAAGGCCGTTCTTGAAAGATTTTCCACAACCATGCTTTAGGTCATGCCAAATGGAGGCAGTGTGCACTTCATTTTAGGCCGAATTAGGCACGACCATGCCCTTGGTCGTGCCACTATGGGTAATCTAAACAGTATTTAAACATGTTCTATGTTGTATTTTGGGGGAGGCGAACGCTAGATAGTTTCAATAGGGCTAGACTAGCTTAGATTACATATAATCAACACATTTTCCAATCTTTTAATCTCGGATTGAAGTCGAATTCAACCTCAACATTGCATCTACATAGAGAAGCTTTTCCATACTCTTTCTTTTATTTCCTCTACAATAATGTTCTTAATATTCATTTGTGCTTTTTACTTGTTCCTCTTTTTGAAGTGTGAGTAGTTCGATATGGAGTTTGGATTAGCGATTAATCCCTTTCCTAAGTGCTGGTTATGTAGATTTTGCATATGGGGGATAAGTGGGACCCAAGAATGCCTTTGAGCTTAAGAGTTTGGGATTGAGGCGTCATGAAAGTGGGGCAATCTATTGCTCTAATTCTACGTCGAAAGATCTTTAATTCTAACGCGCATTTTGGATGACATCGTGAATTAGGTATTTCTCCCTATTTTTCTCATGCTCTTAATTAGGATGTGGTTATCGTTAATCTGGTAGAAGGTGGGGCATGAGATAAGGCTAGAGGTGTAGCCATGTCGCAAACCTTACACAGGGGTTATGTGCTTTGCGCGATTAGCTTACACTATGCTATTTGCCTTGCACACAAGAATGAGCATGCCAACATATAGTACTGCCTATGTACCGCTTGGGGTAAACCACGTGTGATCATACAAAGGTTTCATACATGGAGTCATGTCATGATGTGGTTCAAAATTTCGTGGAACATCCGGGCCCACGATCTAAAACATTTGATGAATTAGAGCAACAATTCCTTAGAGATTATAAAAGACCGGTACAACTTATGTCTGGGTCATCATCATCTTCTCATTCTTTTAATTCAATGTCTTGTATATCCCTTTAAGTTTTGTACTTGTCCAAATATCAAAGACACACTTTCAAGACGCTGAATGGTAGTCAGTATCTAACACCTTACTCTAAAACCCCATGTTCTCATTATTACTACAAATTATATTTTCCAATTCTATGCTTTGCCTGGACCAAAAAATCGTAAGTGATGTATCAAAAGTAATAGAATGCCTAATTGCTAACAAAAGATTCAACAAATTAAAGAAGAATAAAACACACATGAATCTAAAAGACTAACAACATGTTTGATTCGTTGAATATGTTTAGAATGGTATAGAATTTTTATGAGTACACTTATTCGATCATTTTTTAAGTTTATATATTCTTGAAAAATACTATTCACCAGAATATGCTATCCTTGAGAATAAATATCTTTTATTATATAGGGCATTTCAATAATTTGAATGCTTACATAATTTCTATTTCTAAAACGAACCAAAACCTAAATACAATTCCTAAAATATATACATTTCAATAACCAAAAATGGAATTTAATTCATAATCTATATCTGGCTTTTTGATTCCCTATTGAATATTATTCTTTTTCCTCAAAACTCAATTATGTAAACCAAATATACTTTAAGGGTTACTCTGTATAGATTTTTTTTTTTCAATTTCCATTTTCTACATTTCCATGTTGTACACTCCTTACCTTTTCTACATTAACAAACAAATAGACCAAATTCTCTGAAGGAAATTTTTTTTCGGTTGGCCGACCCAATTTAATTCTGTCTAACCGTAACGCTTTATTTGTCCGTTACCATTTCTCCCATCTACCCTCTCCCCTCTCTCTCTCTCTCTCTCTCTCCCTCTCTCTCCCCCTCCCTCTCCCTCCCTCTCCCTCCCTCTCCCTCTCCGTCTACCCTCCTCTCTCTCTCTCTCTCTCTCTCTCTCTCTCTCTCTCTCTCTCTCTTTCTAAGCCGCAACGAAATCCTCTTTCTCTCAAGTTTGTCTCCTCTCACTTTAATCTTCTCTCGCGCTGTCAATCTCTTTTGACTCTCATCTCTCGATTGGAAAAAAAAAAAGGTTTCTATACATCTATCAACCCGATCTCTTCAATCGTCATCGAAACTCCTTAGATTGTGAAGGTAATCTCTAGTCTCATCCCCTTTACTAGCTATAAGACTTGAAATACTTTTAGAAGCCTAGATGTATGTTTCATTTAATTTGAACAACAAAAAAATTGTTTTCTTTGTAATGAAATTGAAATTGTGAAAACGTTGACAAATTCATTTCGAAACATGTTTTATTGAATACATTTTCTATTTTTTTTCTAAATTTTTGATACATAAAATACCCGCATTTACAAACTTGTCCGCAATTAAAAGTGAGAAAGAGATTACCAAAAAAAAAAAAAAAAAAAAAAAAGAAAAACCTACCAAACTTCAAATAGCTTTTGAGCAATTTTGATATAATTCTCTATCTCTCTCTTTAGCTCTCTCTATCTGTATGTATGTATGTGTGTATATATATATACATATATATATATATATATATATATATATATATATATATATATATACACACGCGCGCGCACAACAAAAAAAAGTTTCAAGTATTCATTTTCATTAGAAAGCTATTAAATGAGTTCAAATCTATTTATTTATTAATTTGTAAAATAGGAAACAAATTTGCACTATTTTTTTCCTCATAAAGAAATAAAAATGTAGTGACAATTGATAAAAGTATCAAGTAATATTGTAAGTATGTAAGTTGTTATATATGGAGTTGTGGTTAGGTAGATGGGATTGAGTTAGAAATAATAGTAAAACAAGTAAAAGAAATATGAATGCAATAGATGCATATGGTGTAATGGGTAAGTAGACAGTTGTAAAGCATTGATAGTTGGGGATGGATTAAATAGGTAGGTGATAGCTAGTAGGCATAAATAAATAGGTTATGGTGCGTAAAAAGAATGTGATTATATTATAGGAAAATAGGAAATAGTGATGGTAGGGGTAGGTAGATGGTGTTTGATGGTTAGGTAGGTGGGTGAAGGTAATGCTATAAAAATAAGTGAAGTGAATACATATATATATATATATATATATATATATATATATATATATATATATATATATATATATATATATATATATATATATATTTAAACTAATTCTCTAATACTATACATACTGAAATTAATCAATGATGTAACACTAGCAATATTTATTGGATTTCTTTTTGTAATTTGTATGGCTTTTATTCGATTTGTATGTACTCACATTTAAATTTCTTGTGGATATAGTGAGAAATAGATCAGAGTTGGGTTAAAATATTTAATTATATATATATATATATATTTTTTTTTTTTTTTTCAGATAACAAAAGGAATTTTTATCTAAGACACACAATCAGGATGTCACTCCCTACTCCTAAGCGCCATATGCAACAACAAAATTTGAATCAAGATATAATCACAGAAATGCTTAAAAGGCTGCCTATGGAATCTCTACTGCAATTTAGGTGTGTTTCAAAAGTTTGGCGTGCTTTAATATCATCTCCAGAATTTGTCAAATTGCACTTAAATTTTCATTCAAAAAAGGATATTAAGGTCATGACATATAGCAGTGTAAATCGGATTAGCTATATGTCCTTGTTTTCTATTACAGAAAACAAGCAATCATCATTTCGAAAGTTTATTACAAATGACCGCTCGGTCTTAATCCCTGAAGATGGTTTTGAATTTTTGGGTTCTTGCAATGGGCTCTTTTGCTTTCGTGCTAAATCGTATCAAATAATGATTTGGAACCCTTCATTAAATGGAAACGTCAAGACAATCCCAGTCGTATGGCGGTTCGGCTACATAAGCATATTTGGATTTGGATACGACATGCATAATGACGACTACAAGGTTGTTTATGCTTATTATGGTGACAATAATGGTGATGATGAATATGTGGTTTTGGTGTATAGTTTTAAGCTTGGGACATGGAAAAGATGTGATAGAGGGTTTAGTAGTGGGTTTGTTTATCCCAGAATTGTTGTGTTTGTGAGTGGTAGTTGTTAGGAACCTTGTATTAGGATTTTGATGATACCAATGTAATATAGAAAGTAGACCCCTAACTCTTTCGTTTTTATTGTATCGCTACTTTCGTTCTAGACGAAAGTTGCCATAACTCATATGTAATTCGTGTTAAGCTAGAACAAACACACGAAAAGAGTTATGAATAGAAGATAGGCTGATCAAAGTGAAAGAAGACTCCACAGCAACGAAAGAAGGAGTTGTCATTAAATAGACAGTTCTTTTCAAGACTATTTCAACAAGTATTCTTCTTCTCATCAACTAGAAGAATGTTCTACCTGTCTGATTTGACAACATCCTAGGACAATAAGGACCTCAACTCATGGGACACGCTATCCAAAGAGCATTTAATGAAGTTGTACTATCTCTGGAGCTAGAAGACAAAAGTCATCAGATCCTCCATACCTTCAATGGAGCATTAAATGCATGAGGCTCCATGGTCCTTGTCCAACAGATAAAAGGTTTAAAAAATTCATCTCCCTCCAACGGATGAATTTTCATCACCTATATAAACCAACCTTCATCAACTAAGAAGGTGCTGGTTCATTTATCACTCTACTCACTCTCTCTTGCAAAAAGCTCTTAAAAAGTGAACAAATCTCAAAGCTTTTTGCGAACCAGCTATTTAAGGTGTTAAGGCATTTGAAGTAGATCACCCATCACTGCCCTACATCTTGTAAGAAGTCTTGCACTCTTGAAGCAATCATCCCACACCAACAAGACTTCACAGTTGGAGGAATCAAGAAATACTTTCTCACCAACCTCAACTTAGAACAAGAAGTTGATAGAGGCGGAGTAAACTCTCGGAGTTGAAAAACCTTCAAAGGCTGTCTGGCTTAGTGATCAAGGAAGTCTTTGTGTAATTGTACTAAAGAGTGATAGTGCAATCCTTCCAGCAGTTGTGGAAGAAGAGTGGAAGTAGGCAAAGTTTGGCCGAACCACTATAAAATCTCGTCTCGCTCTTCTCTTTACTTACTGCTTTAGTTTACTGCTTGCATATCATCCTTTTCATCACTCATCTTATCTTTTTATCAAACTCGTGCAACCCTCTCTTAATAACCTTTCCGCTGTGCTTATCTTACTCTAAAGTGTTGTCAGGGTTTTTCTTTTAAAGAATCTAAAGAAAAACGAGAGTCTATTCACCCCCCCCCCCCCACTAGACTCACCAAACAATCTATCGGGACCAACAAGTGGTATTAGAGCCGAATACCTTGAACGGTGAAGGCTTTTTGCATTTTACTGCCTGGTAGATCCACCTTTGATTTTTTTTTTTTTTTGGATCTTCTTCGTTGCACGATTTTTTTTTAAAATGGAAAAAGAACATGCACAAAATCGCTCTAGACAGCTTGCTTTTAGTCTTGCCAAGTTTGATGACTGGAAATTAAGAATGCAGGCTCTTCTGTGCTCTATTCATGATGAAATGTGGGACGTCATAACTACTGGACCTATCACAGTGATGATGGCAAATGCACAGGCTGCTGCTCAAGGACCAGATGCTCCACAAATAATACCTAAGCCGAAAGAGCAGTATAACTCGGAAGAAAGAACAAGAGCAAACCTGGACAATGTGGCAAGGAACATTCTTTACAACTCTCTAGATGATTCACTCTTCCCCAGAGTCAGAAAATGTAAAAATGCTATGGAAGTATGGAAAGTTCTAATGGACTTAGGAGAAGGAGATGAACAAGAAAAGGACAACAAACTGACAATAGCCATGAAGAAGTTCGAAGACTTTAAGATGCAACCAAACGAGACGATCATGGAGATGGAGCTAAGATTCACAAGACTAATGGGAGACTTATCAGACCTTGGAAAGGAACTCACCGAAAAGGAGATGAATCTAAAAATTCTTCGTGGATTGCCGAAGTCATGGGAGATGAAGGTCATCGCGATGAGAGATAATCGTGACATGAAAACAACACCCACAGCCAAAATCTTCAGTGATCTCAAAGCATATGAGTTTGAACATGAACCGAAAGATGCTGAGGAACCAAAAACGAGAAATATTGCCCTCGTAGCAAATCAGGCGGCGTCAACCCCTAACAGGTCGAAATCTAACTCTTGTGATTTTTTAACTGACGAACAATATGCCTTATTTGTCAGGAAGATAAAAAGATTCATGAGAAAGAACAACTTTCAAGATCCACAACGGTCAAGCCACCGAAAGAGGCATGAAAGCTTCCCTCAGGCTTCAAAGACCGAAACCACTGATTCACAGCTGTTGTGCTACAACTGCCGAAAGCCAGGGCACTTCAAAGCGAACTGCCCTTATCCAATGGTTAGAAAATATCAAGATGGCAACGATATCACAAGCTCCTCAAGGGAATCTGGAGAAAAGCACAAGAAAAGTGATAAACCAGAATCATCAAACTCCAAGAGTGAGGGAAGAAGAAAAGCAATGGTGGTTGCCGAAAACACTGAAAAAGCTATACCCGAAAGTAGTACCTCAAGCTCAAGCTCAGAAGACGAAAGCAGTGATGAGGAGAAAGGACTACTATGCCTCTACAGCCAAGAATCAGAGGAACTATGCCTCATGGCAGACGAAGAAGAGGTAAACTCTCATTCTTCTTCTTGCTTTTCAGCCGAATCAAGTTCTTTAGTGAGTCAAACCTCCAGTGAATCTGTCACTGAAATGATGAGGAGGTTTAAGTTGATAAATAGCACTTACTCCAAGCTAAAAGAGGAGAACTCTCGGCTCATGACTAGCCATAATGAATTAGAGAAAGTTCGCATTGAGAACAAAATGTTGATCATTGCTAAGGAGCAGCTCGAGAAAAATGTTCTCGCTCTTAAGGAGCAGTGCACAACAAAAGAAAAGAGAGAGCAAGAATTGCTTGAAGTGTTGGACAAGTTTAACAAGTCATCCAACTTAATGGACAGAATGTTAAACGAATCCAGACTGCCCGGAGAGAAAACCGGAATTGGTTTTAACTCCAGCTCCTCTTCACAAGTCGAAACGAACAAATCCACGAATGCATACTCACATGAGAGTCTTGCAACCATATTTGTTCGAGGACCAACCCAGCAGCCCAAGCCTATGATGGTACATAACAATGTCACAGCACCACAATCAACAAGCCAACCGAAAGGAAAGGCTGTACAACGAATTGTGGAAACAGGAAAGAGAAAACCTAGTAAAGGCAATCCTAGACAAATATGTGTCAAAAGGAATGGACCAAATGGCAGTGGAAAAAGTCCACACCAAAAATTGAGTCAGCCTAACTGGAATTCTCGATCCTATAAAAAGACAAATGTTAACCAGAGGCAATATCGTCCAAAGAGTTCTGCTCAGGAAATCTCAAAGAACGGACAACCTGAAAGGATCCTCAGAAGATCTGGGTATGGGAATGGAAGGACTGGGCCTTCAGAAGAAGATTGGTTTGATTACCCGGAACTCCTCTCGAGGAAAGCTCTTAAGATAACACATCGACGTAAACAAACCAATTATCGTTGGCATTATGAAAATCTTCCACCAAAAGAGCAACAAAGGAAGTATAAGGATAAAATCTTTGCCAGTGTTTATTTCGATTATCGCACCTCCAACGGATACAGAGGACCAAGGATGAGTCATGTGCACTCTAGGTTAATATGGGTTCCAAAATTGACTACTAACCCCCAAGGACCCGAAACTAAGTGGGTACCTAAAAATACATGATCTTTGATGCAGGAGAAACAGGTCATATGGTATGTAGACAGTGGATGCTCAAGACATATGACTGGTGACAAAACAATTTTGAGCAATTTCAAAGAAATAAATGGACCCAAAGTCATCTTTGGAGGAGAAACAAGTGGCCAAACTCGAGGAAAAGGAGACATCATCAAGAAAGGAATAATCATACAAGATGTCTCTTATGTAGAAGGACTTAAATTCAACCTTCTAAGCACAAGTCAGTTCTGCGACAAAGGATACAAAGTAGAATTCTTTAAAGAAGAGTGCAAAATCATAAATACGAAAGATGGCAGGACAGCACTTACAGGCCAACGAAAGAAGAACATGTATGTAATTTCATTAAATTCTTCTAATACTAACATTTGTCTTGTAGCTAAGAGCAATGCAGATCTCAATCAAGAATGGCACAACAAGCTAAGCCACTTGAACATGAAGACAATAAATAAGCTTGCAAAAAGGAATCTTGTAAGAGGCTTACCCGAAACATCTTACACGAAAGATAGGTTATGTGATGCCTGCCAAAAGGGAAAACAGCTGAAATCGTCCTTCAAGTCAAAAGATGTAGACACAAATTCTCGATCTCTAAGCCTTCTGCACATGGATCTTTTTGGACCAATAGATCCAGCAAGTATAAGCGGAAGAAAGTACACCCTTGTGGTAGTAGATGACTTTTCAAGATATACATGGGTTCTTTTCTTGAAAAAGAAGAATGAAACAGAAACGGCTCTGCCAAATCTTTTGAAGCAACTTCAAACAGAGAAGGAAGTCAAAATAACAAGAATCAGATCGGATCAAGGAACCGAATTTGTCAACAAAGTGATAAAGGATTTCTGTGCTCAAAATGGAATATTTCATCAACTCTCAGCAGCACGAACTCCTCAGCAAAACGGAGTAGCCGAAAGGAGAAATAGAACTCTAAAAGAAGCAGCACGAACAATGATCTCACACTCAGGTCTACCAAAGAGATTTTGGGCTGAAGCCATAAACACCGCATGCTATACACAGAACAGATCCTTAATCAACAAGTCTCACAACAAAACACCATATGAGCTATGGAAAGGTAAGACTCCAAATATTGGATATTTTCATGTTTTTGGTTGCAGGTGTTTTATTCACAACAATGGCAAAAACTATCTTAAAGCATTTGACGAAAGAGCTGACGAAGGATTATTCATGGGATATTCATCCATAAGCAAAGCATTCAGAGTTCTGAACAAGCGAACTATGGTTATCGAAGAATCCATCCACGTCAAATTTGATGAACAATCTGAGAAAAATCCTTCTGGATACAAGATACCTGCTATCCCAGCTCAAA